GTTGACATCATAAATTGCACGGAGTGCACGAAACGTTTTCCGAATAGAACATTGGTTTTGATAATGATAATAATTTTTAACAATTCCGACGCGTTGCTCAATCGTATAGCGCTCCATAATAAAATGCAGAGACTAATTGAATACGGCTGCCAAAGATAGCACCTGTGTGACTATCGAGTTTTTCATGGGCTATTGTCAAACATCGAGCGTTACTATTGGAAAACCCTATACATACCTAGATTCTTCTATTGGACCTAGAAAAAATATTAAACCACTTCCTTGCTTTGAAAAACAACCATCTACAGAGCAATATCTAATAGCACAGCTAATAGGCATATTGTCAGAGAATTGTCACATAAGTAACAAATTCACAGTCCTTCACAAAGATGCAACCGAGGAGAACATTGAAAATGCCGAAGCAAACTTCAACGCTAATGCTTGTGATTATTGTGAGCTTTGAGATCCGCTAAAATTCAACCCTTTCCAGATTTTCCAGAATTTTTCCGACCCAATCCAGAAATTTCCATGCGTTTTCCAGACGTTTCCAGAAATTTCCAGACTTTATCCAGATTTTTCCAGACTTAGCTAGACTTTATGCAGACTTGTCAAAATTTCTCCAGACCTTATCAAGCCTTTTCCAGAGGTTTCCAGACATTTCCAGACTTTCCCAGACTTTATCCAGACTTTTCTAGACTTGGCTGGATTTTTCCAGACTTTATCCAGACTTGTCTAGATTTCTCCAGACCTAATAGAGCCTTTTCCAGACGTTTCCAGAAATTTTCTGGCTTTTCCAGACTGTATCCAAACTTATCCAGACTTTTCCAGATTTAGCTAGACTTTATCCAGACTTGTCTAGATTTCTCCAGACCTTATCCAGCCCTTTTCTGACCTCTCCGGACTTCTCCCAAACACTTTCCCGACTTCAAATACACTTTTCCAGACTTTATCCAGACTTGTCTGAATTTCTCCAGACCTTATCAAGGCTTTTCCAGACGATACCAGAAATTTCCAGGCTTTTCCAGACTTTATCCAGACTTTTCTAGACTTGGCTAGATTTTTCCAGACTTTATCCAGACTTGTCTAGATTTCTCCAGACCTAATAGAGCCTTTTCCAGACGTTTCCAGAAATTTTCTGGCTCTTTTCCAGACTTTATCCAAACTTGTCTGAATGTCTCTAGACCTTATTAAGCCTTTTCCAGACGTTTCCAGAAATTTCCAGGCTTTTCCAGACTGTATCCAGATTTTTCTAGGCTTAGCTAGATTTTTCCAGACTTTATCCAGACTTGTCTAGATTTCTTCAGACCTAATAGAGCCTTTTCCAGACGTTTCTAGAAATTTTCTGGCTCTTTCCCAGACTTTATCCAAACTTATCCAGACTTAGCAAGACTTTATCCAGACTTTATCCAGACTTATCTAGATTTCTCCAGACCTTATCCAGCCCTTTGACCTCTCCGGACTTCTCCCAAACACTTTCCCGACTTCAAATACACTTTTCCAGAACTTATCCAGACTTGTCTGAATTTCTCCAGACCTTATCCAGCCTTTTTCCGACGTTTCCAGAAATTTCCAGGCTTTTCCAGACTTTATCCAGACTTGGGTAGATTTTTCCAGACTTTATCCAGACTTGTCTAGATTTCTCCAGACCTAATAGAGCCTTTTCCAGACGTTTCCAGAAATTTTCTGGCTTTTCCAGACTTTATCCAAACTTATCCAAACTTTTCCAGACTTAGCTAAACTTTTTCCAGCCTTATCCAGACTTTATCCAGACTTGTCTAGATTTCTCCCGACCTTATCCAGCCCTTTCCTGACCTCTCCGGACTTCTTCCAAACACTTACCCGACTTCTATTATGTATAAGTAATTGCCTATCTATGAGTCGGCACTCAATGTATGCAAAAGCGGTAACAACCTTGAACTAACATAAACATATCGATTTTATATTCCGATTGCCTTATTTGCATAATTAAAGCGGTGACAACCTTGAACTAACATCTCGATTTTATAGTCAGATAGATAGAAAGCTGAATCTTTCACTGAAAATTATCCTTTTCAAAGGACTACAATCCCTGAAAATTTCAGCTCATTTGCACTTATAGTTCCTGAGATAAAATCGTGTTAAGCAATTGGGGTGATTTATCAATTTTTCAAGTTTTCTGAGTGCCTTTTTTCATAGATTGCGGCTTCAAATCTTCGAATAATTTAGTTTATGGAGTTCAGGGTATCACGAGAGACCATTAGGATATAAAATCTCGACAAAAAAAAATTTGAAATTTCATCGTTTTAGTAAGAAGGTACCCCCCTTATGATTTTTTTGGAATACTTTGAAAGGTCATAACTTTTTTTCTATTATAGATAGAAAGCTGAATCTTTCACTGTATTTTATCCCTTTCAAAGAATTACAATCCCTGAAAATTTCAGCTCATTTGCACTTATAGTTCCTGAGATAAAATCGTGTTAAGCAATTGGGGTGATTGATCAATTTTTCAATTTTTCTGAGTGCCTTTTTTCATAGATTTCGGGTTCAAATCTGAGAATAATTTAGTTTATGGAGTTCAGGGTATCACGAGAGACCATTAGGATATAAAATCTCGACAAAAAAAAATTTGAAATTTCATCGTTTTAGTAAGAAGGTACCCCCCTTATGATTTTTTTGGAATACTTTGAAAGGTCATAACTTTTTTTCTATTATAGATAGAAAGCTGAATCTTTCACTGTATTTTATCCCTTTCAAAGAATTACAATCCCTGAAAATTTCAGCTCATTTGCACTTATAGTTCCTGAGATAAAATCGTGTTAAGCAATTGGGGTGATTTATCAATTTTTCAAGTTTTCTGAGTGCCTTTTTTCATAGATTGCGGCTTCAAATCTTCGAATAATTTAGTTTATGGAGTTCAGGGTATCACGAGAGACCATTAGGATATAAAATCTCGACAAAAAAAAATTTGAAATTTCATCGTTTTAGTAAGAAGGTACCCCCCTTATGATTTTTTTGGAATACTTTGAAAGGTCATAACTTTTTTTCTATTATAGATAGAAAGCTGAATCTTTCACTGTATTTTATCCCTTTCAAAGAATTACAATCCCTGAAAATTTCAGCTCATTTGCACTTATAGTTCCTGAGATAAAATCGTGTTAAGCAATTGGGGTGATTTATCAATTTTTCAAGTTTTCTGAGTGCCTTTTTTCATAGATTGCGGCTTCAAATCTGAGAATGATTTTGTGTATGGAGTTTGGGGTATATTGGTTGACCATTAGGATACAAAATCTCGACAAAAAAAAATTTGAAATATCATCGTTTTAGTAAGAAGGTACCCCCCTTATGATTTTTTTGGAAAACTTTGAAAGGTCATAACTTTTTTTCTATTATAGATAGAAAGCTGAATCTTTCACTGTATTTTATCCCTTTCAAAGGATTACAATCCCTGAAAATTTCAGCTCATTTGCACTTATAGTTCCTGAGATAAAATCGTGTTAAGCAATTGGGGTGATTTATCAATTTTTCAAGTTTTCTGAGTGCCTTTTTTCATAGATTGCGGCTTCAAATCTTCGAATAATTTAGTTTATGGAGTTCAGGGTATCACGAGAGACCATTAGGATATAAAATCTCGACAAAAAAAAATTTGAAATTTCATCGTTTTAGTAAGAAGGTACCCCCCTTATGATTTTTTTGGAATACTTTGAAAGGTCATAACTTTTTTTCTATTATAGATAGAAAGCTGAATCTTTCACTGTATTTTATCCCTTTCAAAGGATTACAATCCCTGAAAATTTCAGCTCATTTGCACTTATAGTTCCTGAGATAAAATCGTGTTAAGCAATTGGGGTGATTTATCAATTTTTCAAGTTTTCTGAGTGCCTTTTTTCATAGATTTCGGCTTCAAATCTGAGAATAATTTAGTTTATGGAGTTCAGGGTATCACGAGAGACCATTAGGATATAAAATCTCGACAAAAAAAAAATTGAAATTTCATCGTTTTAGTAAGAAGGTACCCCCCTTATGATTTTTTTGGAAGACTTTGAAAGTTCATAACTTTTTTTCTATTATAGATAGAAAGCTGAATCTTTCACTGTATTTTATCCCTTTCAAAGGATTACAATCACTGAAAATTTCAGCTCATTTGCACTTATAGTTCCTGAGATAAAATCGTGTTAAGCAATTGGGGTGATTTATCAATTTTTCAATTTTTCTGAGTGCCTTTTCTCATAGATTTCGGCTTCAAATCTGAGAATAATTTTGTGTATGGAGTTTGGGGTATATTGGTTGACCATTAGGATACAAAATCTCGACAAAAAAAAATTTGAAATATCATCGTTTTAGTAAGAAGGTACCCCCCTTATGATTTTTTTGGAAAACTTTGAAAGGTCATAGCTTTTTTTCTGTTATAGATAGAAAGCTGAAACTTTCACTGAATTTTATCGACCTTGGCTTTCCCATAGCTCAAATTTGAACTAGAAGAAGCATGAAAATCTCTTGGCTCTACTGTAGCGAAAATTGAAGTAGAAAAGTATAAAACTCTGATTTCTGATCATTTTTGAACTAAAACTAAAACTAAATCAGAGTGATTTACAAATCTTATTTCTAAACTTACTAATCTCATCAACTTTTTCTCCTAAGGCTGAAATTGGAAAAATCTTATAAACTGGCTCATTTAGAGCTAGAAAAACGTGAAAATCCTGTCTCAAAGTCTGTTAAGATTCTAAAGAATTTGAAAACTTTAGTATCAGAAGATTGAGAACTGGACTAAAGATTCTGAATACACTATATTAAAATATTCATAAAAAATCATGATTTAAGACCAAAGACATACTGAATAGTTAAGGACTAAAAATTCTAAATACAAAACTTAAAAGACTTCTGAGGTCCAACATACTAAGCAAGGATGTTAAATCTCGTACTGTGAAACTTAATTCCAAAGGAGTTGAATACAAGATAATTTAAATGTTTTAATAAATAGCGATACTTGGTTATTTTTAATGTAAAATCTGTTTGGTTTTCTTTAGGTTTTCACTCAAATAGTCAAGAAACTGGGCAGATTCGTTGTAGAAGACGAAGTCAGTGAAAAAACGACTCACCTTGTAGCAGGGGAAGCCAAAAGAACTCTAAACATGCTCAGAGCGATCGCCAGAGGCTGTTGGGTGCTCAAACACGAATGGGTAAGCTATCAATTCCTCAAAAAAACATAAATGCAAATTGAAGATTTTTTAGGTACTTCGTTCTTTGGAAGCTGGCAAGTGGCTACCAGAAGAAAACTTCGAGCTAGACGATTTTTCTCCTGCAGTAAGGCACTGCCGTTTAGAGCGTCAAGCCTTTGGCGAAAACTACGCAATGGATGTTTTTGAATCTTGTCCGCCGATTTATGTGAGTTTAGAGACCACGCCTCGGTGTTCCGACTTGCGAGAGTTGATACGCACATGCAAAGGCAAAGTTGTTACTAATCCAAGGATGGCTATGATAATTGTGGGGCAATACATTGACGGGGAACATGTTTGTGTTACTGAGAAGTGGGTGCTGGATTGTGTTAACTTTTACGAAAAAATGGATTTGGATGATTATTTGATTGAAGCTGATAATAGGAAGAGAAAAAGCTTTGCAGTTTAATTGAGTTGACTTAGAGAATTCACAAATTGCATTTATATACCATTTTAAGGAGTGTTTATTAATTTATTTATCTGTTTAATCATTTGTGTAAATTCTATTATCTATTTATGATTTATAATTAATTTTGTTTTGGAATAAAAAATTATTTTTCCTGTTATTGTTGGGTTTGATAGTAAAACACATATGAAAGTTCAAAGGAATCTTTTGTGCCTCTTTTATTAGAAATTTCAAGACACAACCCTTCAGTTACCTAGTTAGAAAATTAGAAAGTGAACTTTCCATCAGGGCCAGCTCTAGGTATTTTACCGCCCTGGGCAATGAGTGAATTTGCCGCACCATCCCATGGCCTGCTTAGGGAAAATGTGAGAGACCTCGAATTGTAGAAACAAAAAATAATTACACGAAACAGTAAGGCATAGCATCTTAGCAATAAAACCACATACTACATTAAAGTCTGTGTTTTTTTAAAGATAAAAGTCAAAATGACATTATGTTGGCAATACAATGTAAAATTGTCAATGCTTTCAATTTTTTTATGTAAAAAAGGCTTGTGTTGCCAACAAAGTTACTAAATTTTTGACTTGGGGAATTATCTTTAAATAAAAAACAAACTTTATGTAACTTAGGTAACCACAAAAAAAAAAAAACTAACATAAGAAAACAAGAAACATAACAAAGTAAGAGTCAGCCAATCCAAGATCTTGACAACAATCAACAGATACATAATATAGATAGGTATACCCTAATAGCACAGAAACGTTTCAAAAAATTATCCTATCGGACGTCAGAACGTTTTAAAAACGTCAGTGAAAATAACTGAGAATATCCAAAGGTGTATTTTTATTTGGTGCAAATGTCATTTCAAACGTCATATAGGCGTCGAAAATGAGCGTTTCAAAAATGCTTTAATACGAACGCTTAAAAACGAAAAAGGACGTTTTTCAAAGATCTCTATTCGAACATTCACTGGACTTCCTTCAAAGTATCCAACACCATCCAATAGACTTATTTTATAGGTAGTGCAAATATCACAATTACAAACAACCTTTTAAAAACGTCTTATTCGAACTAATAATTTCCGGACGTGTGAACGTGGGATACATGTTTCTAACCCAACGGTGTTCTCGAAAACGACCAACAGAAACCTTTATAAAACGTCTCTCATGACTTTTCATGAAAACATACTTTCACGAACTCATAGAAAACATTCTGAGGTTCTTTAATTGTTCTTAACAGAGGTTTCGAAAACAACTTAATCAAACGTCTAAAGAACATCCTTTCTTCACCTTTTTACAAAAACTCGGACATGGACGTCATTACCACCCCAACTATCATCCTATCACTCATTGAAATCTTCTATATATGTACCAAAAACCCTGTATAATTAGATCAAACCAGAGATTTAAACGAATTTTTAGGACCACACATTTTAAATAACAATAAAATGGCTGCTGGAGCTTTAAAATCTACTGTAACTCTTTTGAAAACATTTGATGGATCGCCAACGAGTCTGTGTCGTTTTCGTTTGCGTTCTCAATTGAAATAGTCAAAGTCAAAGTCAAAAATAGCTTTATTGTATAAACCTTAGTTGTTACAAAGCCTTGGTAAAAGAGAACAAAAAAAAAATAAAAATAGTAGTTAAATACAAGACATAAATAATAATAAATTAACAATGCAGGTTAAAATTAAAACACTAGTCAATAAAACTTAATCAATACAACATAAAGTTTAATAATAATACATAAAGAAGACCTACAAATATAGGGGAGAAGCTTGTACCTTGACCCATCATGTACCTTGGACCATGTGTGTAATTTCAAATTTGGCGCGTAAATCTCTGTCAAATTCTGTTATGTTGGTTATCACTTCCACCGCCAATGCGTGACACGTTGTTTAAATGAGTTCTGTGAAACGGTTGTCTTGTGTTGTGAGCGAGTGTATGTTTTAAGTGCCTCCAAAAGTAAGTATTTTGATGTGATTTTAAAGTTTTCTATTCAGTTTTACAATACATAAATTAAAATTTCGCATGCCCTATGTTAAACTTAGGTATGTAGAGAAATTAAATTGATAATTTTCCATTTTTCATTTTTTGTTTATATAGGTTAGAAAAATATTTGTTTATTATATCTAATAGGCTTGTACCTTGGACCATGGCCCTGTCTTGTACGTTGAGCCATGGTCCAAGGTACAATCGCTGTTTTGACTTTTTTGTTCGGATGTATAATTGCATGGATATTTTTTTTTAGATGCCAAGAAGTAAACAGGTTGTAAAGAGAAAATGCCCCGACCTTGCCGCTTTACAATCCGCAGCAAATGCTGTACAAAATGAACATATTTCAGTGCGTACTGCATCTAAAGACTTTAAAGTGTCCCGATCTACACTAAAAAGGTATTTGATCAAACTTGAGCAAAACGTAGCTTACAAATCTTACGAAAATTGTGCGGTTAAAAAAGTGTTTTCGGAAGCAGAGGAAAAAAGCTTGTGCGAGTATCTCCTCACCGCATCTCATATGCATTATGGCCTTACCCGTCGAGATCTTCAGGTCCTTGCCTACGACTTTGCCAAGGCAAACAATAAAACTATCCCTGCTTCTTGGGAAAACAAACGTCGCGCCGGAAAGCAATGGTATTTGGATTTTTTGAAGCGCAGAAACACAATAAGCTTAAGAAAACCACAAGCGACAAGTTTAGCCCGGTCCACAAGCTTCAACAAGCACGTTTCCACTTTTTTCGAGAAGCTCAGGGGGGTTTTGCAAAAGCATCAGTTTACTGCTGATAAAATTTACAATCTAGATGAAAGCGGAAACACAAACGTTCATATGCCAGGTAAATTAATATTTTTCTCACTATCTTGTTTTTGACATCGTCAGGAAAATTTCAGTCCTTTATTATAATTTTTTTTTTTTTCGGTTTCAGATAAGATTTTGGCCTGTAAAGGGGTGAAACAAGTTGGAAGCGCAACATCAGGTGAACGAGGTGTCAATGTTACTATTATTGCATGCGTGAATGCCATAGGAAACAGTGTGCCACCTTTATATATATTTCCGAGAGTAAATTATAAAGACTTCATGATTAAAGGTGCTCCTCCTGGTTCCATTGGATCTGCTCACCCCAGTGGCTGGTCTAACAAAACAATCTTTCTACAGTATCTTCACCACTTTCTGAAACATGTAAATTGTTCCTTTAATAATAAGGTGCTACTTATCCTAGATAACCATGAAAGCCATATTACCATCGAGGCAATAGATTTCGCAAGAGAAAACGGAATAGTAATGCTTACCCTACCTCCTCACACAAGTCACAAGCTCCAACCGCTAGACCGAAGCGTATTTGGGCCTTACAAAACATACTACAACACAGCATGCGCCGACTGGATGCGTTCTCATCCTGGAAAACCTATTTCAATTTATGATGTGGCCGAAATATCAGGAATAGCCTACCCTTTAGCCTTCATACCTTCAAACATTCAGTCCGGTTTTAGAGTATCAGGTATTTGGCCGTTTAATGAGAATATCTTTCAAGAGCATGAATTCATGGGATCATCAGTAACTGATCGGCCATATGACGACCCATCTACATCCCAAGGAGCCCCATCAGGAACCCCATCTTTACATTTAGCAACCGTATCCACAACAAGCATTCCTACAACTGCATCAAATACTGTTGCAACTCCATCCAGCATTATTACATCCACACCAAACGCTGCTTCCTCCAGATTAAACACGACTCCGTCCACACAAAATGTTACTCCATCCACATCACATGCAATAATCACACCAGAAATGATTCGTCCATTTCCACAAGCTGCTCCAAGAAAAGCTTCCGCAAAAGGACGAAAAAAAGGAAAATCCCGAATATTAACTGACACGCCTGAAAAAATGGAAATTGAAGCCAACAAAAAAAGCGTTACAAAAACGCCCAAAGCAGCAAAGAAAGAAATTGTGAAGAGAAAGGTGTTACAGTCGTCATCGTCGTGATCATCCTCAGATGAAGATTCTGAAGACATTGTTGTCTATGATGACGATTCAGACTTAGATGCTGAAGATGATTTTGAAATTGATCCCATAGAAGAATGTCAGGCTAAACCCACAGAAGTCAAAATTACCGATCTAGCAATTGGTGATTTCTGTCTCACAAAACTAACAGGGGAAAAAAAAAATACATTTCTATGTTGCCGAAGTAACTGTTCTAAGTCCCTGTTTAATGGTCCAATACTTGAAAAGAATTCTCACCAGCAACAAATTTTCTGGCCCAAGTGGTCAACAATTTCAAATTGATATTGAAGACGTTTTGCTCAAACTTGCACCCCCACGTCAGGCAGGATTGTCCGAAAGGTAAAAAGGGATACATATTTTCGATTTAGATTTTGAGAAGTACAATGTTGAATAGTAAGAAATAGTTTTTTTACATTTATTTTTAAATTTGTATAAATGCCTCAAGGTACAAGACTAGTTGGTCCAAGGTACACTATGTGTTTGTACCTTGGGCCAAATTCGTAATAATAAATAAGATCCCAAAATAAATGTGTTTTATTGTTTAACTAATATTACTATGTAATATAATGTTCTACTATATATAACATACAAGTTAGCCCAAAAAGTTTACCTTAAAATTGAACAATGTGAATATAACGACGTCTCGAAAAAATCCTGCCCAAGGTACAAGCTTCTCCCCTACATGCATATAAATGGACAAAATCAATAAACTGCAAATATCCAGACAGAAAACACACTATACTATATATCAGTCAAGAACAGTCTCATAAAATTCAGCCAAAGTATAATATGCCCCAGGTGCTAATACCCTTTTTACTGCTCTCCTGAATTTTTTTAAGCAATTAATCTTCCTAACCTCTGTGGGCAGATGGTTAAAAAGTTTTCTGCCCTCATATAAGAAAGACCTTTTAACAAGTTGAGAGTGAGGTATTGGAAGATTCAATGAGAAAGGATGACGGGTCGGATATGGTCCAATGTGGTTAAGCTCATTCCTATATTTTTTAAAAATTAAAGTTACAGTCTCCAGAATGAACAATGAGCAAAGGGTTAATATTCCACACTGGCCAAATAAACCACGGCAGGAGTCGTGGACTTTTGCAGCACAGAGATAACGAATTGCTCTCTTTTGCAGTAAAAATACTGAGGTAAATAAATATTGAGAGCACGCACCCCAAAACGCGATGCCGTAGCGAAGATGGGGT